AAACACTATTGACTGAACACTAAAACACTTACTGGTAACTACCCTCTACCAATCATTTGTTTAATAAAACACTATCGACTCAACACTAAAACAATTACTGGTAACTACACTCTATTGATCACTTTTATAATAAAACACTATCGACTGAACACTAAAACACTTACTGGTAACTACCCTCTATTGATCATTTGTATAACAAAACACTATTGATTTAACACTAAAACACTTACTGGTAACTACCCTCTATCAATCACTTGTTTATTAAAACACTATTGACTCAACACTAAAACACTTACTGGTAATTACCATCTACCAATCATTTGTTTAATAAAACACTATTGATTTAACACTAAAACACTTACTGGTAACTACCCTCTATCAATCAATTGTTTAATAAAACACTATCGACTTAACACTAAAACACTTACTGGTAACTACCTTCTATCAATCACCTGTTTAATAAAACATTTACTGGTAACTACCCTCTATCAATCGCTTGTTTAATAAAACCCTATTGACTGTGAAGCTCATTTTGTAAACCAGATTACAAACTCAACAAAGATAATGATAAGACAACCAGAGATGTAAAAATCTTTATAAGAAACTTACTTTTTCTTACCAGCCTCTTCAGGCAAGATCAAGGATAAAGGTTGGACAGGCGTGCCACTAGTACGAGTGCCTAATCCCAGCTTGTCTTTGATAGAGCTTGCTTGCTGTGAGTTATAAAAAATAGCTTCAGTTTTATGTCGGGAGCTACACCACCAAAGCAATAAATTGAGCTGGACTTTACTTTTGCTCTTTTTTTAAAAAGAAGTGAATTAACTTGTGTCTACAAATCATGAATTAAACAAAAAAAGAAATACAGTGAATGAAATTTCACTTTCACATAAAAAATTCTACAAGGTTGTGAATTACAGAATCAGAGAAATATATTGAGAAATATTTTACTTTAATGTTCTAACTTCTAATAACTTGAAAAATATAGAACAGGAAATACTTGTGGTGTGTCTACCTATCATTAGGAAGAAATGGCTGACACGTGAAATGGCTTAGGTTTAATATATATCAATCCCAATATGTCTTAATACTGATCAGGTCTTCCTCCTGCTTGGGTTTGACTTATATCAATCAGAATATGTTTTAATATTGTTTGGATTTGATCTACATCCAACCTATCTTGTCTTCATCCTGCTCAGGTTTGACTTGTATCATTCACAATATGTTTTAATACTGCTTGGGTTTGATCTACCCTCAACCTATAATGTCTTCATCCTGCTAATGTTTGACGTATAAAACCCAAATTAGATACTGGGTAATTAACACATTAATTTCATGATATCTACACCAGGTACTTTAGTAATATTGAAGAGACTGGGATGACCTCAACAAATAATTTGAAGAAAAGCTCCAAATAAGCTAGATATCACCTTGTTTTACAACATTTAGAACACCAAATGACTACCAAAGATGCAAGATCGTAAGTAGAAGCAGTCGAGTATAAAACTAAAAATAAACTTACATCCCATGTATATATTCTTATACTTATTTTAAATTTTTGTATAAGCATCATAAAGAAAAATTAATTCTAACTTAAAAGCAGATTGGTTTATTGATGCTGTTTACCAAAAACGAAGCAAGTTCACAGTATATCAAAGTTTAAGATTCCTTACTGTATCATATGTATTTTTCTAATTGTTGTACTTACTTTTACACTTTGTTTCCTCAGTTTCTTGATCCAGTCTCTACGAAAATCGTTGAACACAGCAGCTTCCAGCTCCTGTAGCCGTCTCATTTCGTGCTGGATGGTGTTCTGGCTTGCACCAAGCAACCTTTTTCACAAAGAAAATAACTTATGAGTAGACATAAATGTACCAAGATTTTATATTTTTTATAGCCAGTGACAGGTAAAGGACTATACAAACAATCAATAAATAGCTACACTAATTCAGAGCAAAAACTTATAATAACACAATTAAACTAATATATATTACAAGTTTTACAATGAGCTGCTCCATAAATTAATATCATTGTTAGTTATTCCTTGTAGCATTAGATTATGATAACTTGGGAATTTCAAATTAATTGACCTGGTTTCATTCCCATTGAATAACACCAAACAACCTCACACAATACCACCACCTAGTCTGTAGCTGTGGCAAGTCACACACGTGGTTCTAAAGTTTACTATCGTCAGTAATTGTGTAAAAACTTCAATAAATTTCATGGTTGGTCTTCATTAAATGTTCTTGCATGAGGCAAGTAGTAACGTAAAATACAGGAATATATATTTCAGATGTTTGTAGAAATGTTATTATTAAATCATAAGAAACTAACAAACAAAAATATAATCAGGGATATAAAAAATAAAAATGGAAGCAACATGACTGTATTTTTATAAATATAGTTCTGAGATAGCAGAAAAAGTCCAGAAATATATAAATTTAAGAGTTTATGAAATAAATTATAATTCTGAATGTGAAGAATAAGAATGGTTGAGGAGATACATGTAAACAAATAAAAGTATACCAAACAGACTGGAAGATAAGAAGGAATGTGTATAACATGTAGTTTCTGTAGATATTTCATTATAAGTGTTGTTTTTTTACAAAATAACAGAATACAATAGATAGCTATTTTGTAGACCAGATAAACAAAAAATATACTTAATTTTTTGTAAAGTCTAAACAAATTCTTTGAAGTACAGGCATATAATATAATATAATAGTAGCAATGTATTGATGCTGAATCAAATGTTATGGATCTTCTGTTTGAGTACATTACACTCCATGTCACTACATATAGTCATGCTTTACCTGATGGCTGTGAATATGGACAGTAGCCTTGCACCATAGTTGCCATAGCAAATGCTCAGTTAAATGGATGCCATGTTCAAAGCACCCAACTTCCCTCTGCAGGCTGTCCATAATCCATCTACTGTATGAAGACAAGGGCTTCTAAGTGCTTATTACAACAATCCACACAAATATAAAGGTGCAGCATCAATTTGACTGACATGTCTTCACACTGGAAAACATGAACCTATATTTCATCTTCATCTGCTTAAGGTATGCAGTGATTGAATGAGATGTGTGACTGGAAGCCTTATATTGGTGACCTCATACCCTATTGGCTTAAATCCCAGACATAGATATTTTTTGATTATGTTGTGTTCTACTGATTGGGACATGTAGATGGTTTTTGCCACTGACCCTTATGTTTGTGGATTCTCATATCTTAGAAGAAACCACACTTTCCTTACCACGAGTGAGGTATGATTGTTGCAGGTCTTCTGGATGATCCTGAGACACTAAGTTAATCTATATTTGTTTGTTCTTCAATGCCATTAAGTACAAGGAATATTTCCATTCTGTAAATTCTAAATCCCTAACCTGAACACATCTATAAGGTTTCCATGTATGCATATTTTGTGTAGGAAAGGGTTATTACACACCCTTCCAAATATAAATCACTATCACTGAATAAAAAACTATATAAAAATGTAGTTCTGATATATTCCTTTCCAGTATGACTTTATATTGGCTGTGTTTGTAACATGAGTTGCTAATTTTTACATTCAAAATCACTTGAATATAGTATACTCAATTAATTTTGGTAAAGTTTAAAACACATTATTACATTATCATAATATTAAGGAACAACAATATCCTTCTGACAATACAGCATACTAATATAATAACCAACAATATTAATGCAATTGTCTGAATGTTATTGAAATAAATCTTTTGTAAAAGCTTTCCTTCATTCTACATATTCAGCTCTTGGATATTTATTGATTTCTCCTTCATCAACAGAAGACGTGAAACTAGATGAATTAAGTTCAACATAACTAAACATATACATAGGGTGCTCATGCATATTACGTTTAATATAACTAAACATATACAGAGGGTGCTCCTGAGTATTATGTTCAATATAACTAAACATATACATAGGGTGCTCATGCACATTAAGTTTAATATAACTAAACATATACACAGTGCTCACGAGTATTATGTTCAATATAACTAAACATATACACAGTGCTCGCGAGTATTATGTTCAATATAACTAAACATATACATAGGGTGCTCATGCATATTAAGTTTAATATAGCTAAACATATACACAGTGCTCATGAGTATTATGTTCAATATAACTAAACATATACACACAGGGTGCTCATGAGTATTAAGTTCAATATAACTGAACATATACATAGGGTGCTCATGCATATTAAGTTTAATACAACTAAACACACACACAGGGTGCTCACGAGTATTAAGTTCAATATAACTAAACATATACATAGTGTGCTCATGAGTATTATGTTTAATTTAACTAATCATATACACACGGTGCTCACGAGTATTACGTTTACTTTAACTGAACATATACCGAGGGTCACAACTATTAAGTTCAATATAAATAAACACATAAACAGAGTGCTCATGAGTATTAAGTTTAATATAACTAAACAATTACCAAGGGTGCTCGAAATGTATCAACTGTCAAGCTTTACTTAACAGCATATTACCTGAGATCATTGATAATCTTAGCTTGTTCATTCATCTCCTTCTCAATCAATCTGGACCGCTTTTTGGCATCCATGTTTGGATCCAATAAGAAAGATGGCAAAGCTTCTGTTAAAATGCTTCCTTTTCGTATTACTACTGGCTCCTGCAATTACCAAGAAACAGCAGGAATAAAGCATATCTAACTAAGTATCATAACTATCACCAGTGACAAAACAATCGGGATATATTTGAAACAATACTGACATGGTTGCTGTTGTGTTATCATGTTATCTACAAATACTAGACATAGTTAATAGCTACTAACCTGTACAGAACTGATGTGCCTGCTGTTGCATTATCATGTTATCTACAATCACTAGACACAGTTAATAGTTACTGATGTGCAGAGAACTGATGTGGCTGCTGTTGTGTTATCATATTATCTACAATCAATAGACATAGTTAATAGGTACTGATGTGCACAGAACTTATGTGGCTGCTGTTGTGTTACCATGTTATCTACAATCACTAGACATAGTTAATACTTACTAACCTGTACAGAACTTATGTGGCTGCTGTTGTGTTATCATATTGTCTACAATCAATACACATAGTTAATAATTACTAACATGTACAGAACTTTTGAGGCTGCTATTGTGTTATCATATTATCTACAATCACTATACATAGTTAATACTTACTAACCTGTACAGAACTGATGTGGCTGCTTGGTTATCATTTTATTTACAATTACTAGGCACAGTTAATGGTTAATAACCTGCACAGAACTGGTGTGGTTGCTGTTGTGTTATCATATTATCTACAATCAACAGACATAGTTAATAGCTACTAACCTGTACACAACTGATGTGGTTGCTGTTTTGACCTTCGTTCATAATAATTACTAGCCTGTACAGAACTGATGTGGCTGCTGTTCCGTCCTTCTTTGATAATAATTACTAGCCTGTACAGAACTGATGTGGCTGCTGTCCTGTCCTTCCTTGATAATAATTACTAGCCTGTACAGAACTGATGTAGCTGCTGTCCTGTCCTTCCTTGATCATAATTATTAACCTGTATGGAACTGATGTGGCTGCTGTTTTGACCTTCCTTTATAGTAATTACTAATATGTACAGAACTGTTGTGGCTGCTGTTTTGACCTTCCTTTATAGTAATTACTAATATGTACAGAACTGTTGTGGCTGCTGTTTTGACTTTCTTTTATAGTAATTACTAACCTGTACAGAACTAATGTGACTGCTGTCTTGTCCTCCCTTCATGCTATCATGATCAACCTCATCAGTCTCTTCTTCTTCTCCTGTCAGTGCTGTCAGAGTCTTAAATAGAGCAGAAAGTTCCTTTCCAATGCTGGTGTCAACATGAATGTCAACACCTTCCATCTGCCACTGAACATTCAAGATCCACTTGGCATTGCCTGAGAAAGTGCAAGACTGAAGTCAGCTAAAAACACTGATAGTTGAAATATGTATCAATAAGGGTTACTGAAAAATTATTACAAATAGAAGGTATTGAGATTTTAATGAAATATAAGATTTGCTTATTGAATGAGTTTAGGTTTGTTTATTTTAGGTGTATAATTCAAAAAAATAGTTTAAAAATACATCTTAGCTTAACCTTAGCATATATATGTCTAATTACTTTAATGAGTTAAGTTTGAAATTTAACTACATATTTTTCAATAGTAATAAACCTTTTTTGGAACATTAATCTATAGAATAAGAGGGATGGTAGCCTGATTAAGTTCTTCTCGTATCAATATTTACAAATAACAAAGTTAGGTAATCTGTTTCTTGACAAATGTCTCTGATTTTCATAACCTCTTTATATGAACTTCAGGCATTTCGGGATTGTAAACAAATGAGGAACAACTCATGACAGCTGAAATAGTAAGGTTTAGTAGCTCAGATTATTTGTTAGCAACTGAGACTGATTATCAAACCAAGAAACTGGTATTTATGAAGTATATGTATTTCATAAGTGAAAGAAATGCATATTAGACTTGATGTGCTATACATATTAATCAAAATTTATTTCTTTTGAACTGTTACTTTTCATTCTGTTTTAGCTTTATAATGCTATTACAACAATGTATCATGTACTAAACAAGATTATTTCCCGGTGTTGGATATTCAAGACTGCTTAGCTTAGGCATTAGTGTAGTGGACTTTTGACAAGAAAAAAAGAATTATTTTAGAGTTTGAGATACAACTGTGATATTCATAGTGTAAAAAATTTTGTACATATGTTTAACTTGTTTCAAACATACTATTTTAAAACAAGTGGAGTTTGTGCTGTCTGTTTATTGTTTGAATTTATTGCTAACAAGTCGCAGACACCTATTGTAGAAGAATCCTTAGTGTACATATACATAAAACTCTTGACACCTGGAGATGAATTTTGTATTTTTTCTAAAAGACTGAATAATAGGATTTCACTTTATTGCATCTTAAGAAGAATTAATACAGAAGAAAACTGAATTTCATACAGTTTTATGCACAGCCAACAAACATCATGCTTGCAAATTTTAGGCTTCATATCACTCACTGTTTCCTAGAAAAGCCACAATACACTAACAAATCTGAGTTTTATACAACTCATTGTTTCCTGTAGGAGTCATAATACACTAACAAATCTGTGTTTTATACAACACACAATTTCCTGCATGAAACACAATATATTAACAAATCTGAGTTTTGTACAATACACAATTTCCTGCATGAGACACAATATACTAACAAATCTGAGTTTTGTACAACTCTGTTTCCTGTATGAGACACAATATACTAACAAATCTGTGTTTTATACAACACACAATTTCCTGCATGAGACACAATATATTAAAAATCTGAGTTTTGTACAATACACAATTTCCTGCATGAGACACTATACACTAACAAATCTGTGTTTTATACAACACACAATTTCCTGCATAAGACACAATATACTAACAAATCTGAGTTTTGTACAACTCTGTTTCCTGTGGGAGACACAATATACTAACAAATCTGTGCTTTGTTCATCTGTTTCCTGCAGAAGACACAATATACTAACAAATCTGTGTTTTGTACAACTCTGTTTCCTGAGTGAGACACAATACACAGATTTGTTAGTACATTGTGACTCCTTCAGGAAACAGATTTGTTAGTGTTTTGTACAAATCTGTTTCCTGAAGGAGTTACAATATACTAACAAATCTGTTTCTTGAAGGAGTCACAATATACTAAGAAATCTGTGTTTTGTACAACTCTGTTTCCTGAGTGAGACACAACACACAAACAAATCTGTTTCCTGCAGGAGTCACAATATACTAACAAATCTGTATTTTGTGCAACTGTGTTTCCTGAGTGAGACACAATACAATAACAAATCTGAGTTTTTTATACAACTCACTGTTTTCTGTAGGAGCCACAATACACTAAGAAATTATAACTTTTATACAACTCACTGTTTCCTTGAGGAGCAATGGTTCTTGAACAAACTTCATAGGTTCCTTCTGAAACAACACACAGGTTCATGATACTGGTATCATTTGGATCTGGTTTCCATTCATCCAGAAAGGTTTCAAAGTCTTCAGCAAATCGAATACAAAGTGCTAAAAATAAATGAATAAATCAACATATTAAATCAATCCCTTGAGGTAGAAATTATGCAGCTTGATACATTGAACGTACACTAATTTGACTGGGTTAAAATAATTATGAAGCTATTTCTTGAGCTTTTTATGTATTTGAAAATAAAAGAGAGCCTGTAGTTTCAGGAAAAATGAATATATATCTTAAATGCTTTATACATCTACTTAGTGGGATTAGTTATGAGTTCTTAATAAGCAGGTACAAGTTAAATATGATTAGAGCTAACATGTTTTAAATTTATCTACTACTGGTTCCATGGGATATGACCTACACACGCAAAACATCAATTTCCTAAATGTGGTTGTTCTGTAATAACAAACAGAAAATCATTCTTTAGGTTAGATTTGATAAAAATTAGTATGAGAAATTACCTTAAACAAGAGTGCATCTTTCAAAATACCCTGTGTCTGAAATTTCTATAAAATGTTTTAACTCTCCCGCTACGGAGTTGGTCAATTTGGCTTAAATCTGGACCCCAAATTGACCTTTAGAGTTTCCATACTATAACTTTTAAGATGTTTGTGTATGTTCCTAAAAGATTGTAAGCTTTCAGTAAGCATTACAAGTCTTTAAAGACAAAAAAATTTAAATTGTTTTTATTAAAAATTTCTCCATGAATATATGGAGTCAAAGTATTGACTGCTCCAAGTACAAAGTGATTTTCATGTTAAGATGAAAAATACTTTTATTTATCTGAAAATTCTCAAATTTCATTTGTGTAATCTCTAAAACATCCTAAATAAATTACAAACGTTGTTTTTTCAGTACAACTTTTTATTTTATATGTTATTTTCTTTACCCTAACTCTACACATGGTTGGTCAAATTGACTGATCTAGGGACCATTATACAAAATACAAAATGAATATAAATTACCTGTTTTAGTTTCTATAATGACCTCAATTTGTAAAAGGAATTAGACTTATTTATCCTAAATAGCTTAAAGCTCATAACAGTATACATCTGTTTCTACTTAATTTTATTGATTTATTGCCTTTTGAACACTTGTCTAATTAATAATCATGATATATAAGTTATAAATCACTTGGCAAAAATGTAGCTCACATTACCCTATTGAATTATGTAACACACAAGCTACCTGCATACTGCTTTGAGCTGCTCGGCAAGCTGACCTCAGGAGAAATTTTTATTACTATTTTTCTTTATCTTACCTAATCTAACCTAAGAAGTTTATAAGTTTTCAATTTTAGTTACTTTTATAATAACTAATAATAAATACATATGAAAAACAAGAAATAAAATATCTATGTCTTCTTTTTTTTTCACTGTCAATGAAACTTAATCCTAGTTTTTGCATTAATACTATTACAGCACTAAATATGTTTCTTATTTAATTAAATACTGCACCTAAGAATAAAAAATAATAACATGTAAAAGACAGACAATGTCCAGTAACTATCATAATTTTTTGGCTTTATAACTATGCAATAATAGCTGTTAAAAATTTGCTAAGCTCGTCGATTCTCATGAGAATAAAGTTTGAATTGGAAGTGAAATAAACAATTTCCTACACAGAAAACAACATAATATAGTATTAAATGTCAGAGAAAACTTATTGGCAATTTGTGAATGACAGAATGCAATAGGATAGTGTGGCAAGAGGTGTCTAATTTTCTATTTTATGGCTCTGTAGCCAAATAAGACTGAAGGCTATAAAAAGAGTGCTTTGTCTGAACAATGATGACATTGTAATGAGTAATTTATGTTAAACTTTGTACTTCTCAGAGGGGTGGTAAATAAATTAGAGAAGAGAGGATACATAGAGAGCAAACGTCACAATTCTAAAGGAAATTCAGGATTTCAAAAATATTTCCTTATAAAACTAAAAACATAAAACTTATAAAATATTAAAATCTGATTTATTAACTACGTTTTGATGCTAAGTTTATTCATAAACCATGATAATAAAGTAGTTTCATTAAGTTTTGAATGTAATTCACTAAAATGTCGTGACTGTAAGGAGAGGGTTAATAGCTATACTATTATGATAATTTTTATATCTGAAATACATAAATTTTAATGGAATTGGCTTTGTCTACCAACAGGAACTGAATCCTTCCGTATTTGAAAAACAGCAACGATCTGTTCTGTACCTGAGAACCTTCCCTTGCTGACCAAAGATCCACAGGAGCAGGCTGATATTCTAGTACTTTCTAAAGTGACAACAACTGCGGCCTTCAGTTCTGTGTCATAAAGCTTGCTGGTTCCACTTGTGCTCTAAAAAAACAGAGAAAACTTTTGGGAACTACTTTTAAGTGCCACTAACTTTAAAAGGCTTCATACTATTTTATTTTGTACTTTTTTAATCTTTTCACAAGATTACTATGCTGAATGATAAGTTACCTAATAAAAACTATTTGCATGAAAATATACAATCTAACCCCTGGAAGAATACTTTGAACTGAAATATTTGAAAAATATCCTTAATCCTTGGAAGGCATTAGTAGAGCAGAGGGAAATGATTATATTCTGGAGATTATCTTAACATCTCAAACATCACTTCAGAGTGGAAGTAAATTGTTACAGAGATTATATAAACAGAAGATAATCTATCTACAGTGTAGAAACTAATAAATTTAATGTATATACAGAGACATCTCAAAAGTAAATAAACACCATGATTTTTTTCAATAGTCATTTATCTCAAATTATCAACTTGACAAAAATGTTTACAAATGCGCATCAGTACTTAGTCAACTTGCCACTAGCATTTTTCAGTACTTTGACTCGTTCTGGCGTGGAATCGATGAGTTCTTCAATATTCTCTAGTAGGATCTTGACCCAAGCTGCATGCAAAATATAAAGTAGCTCTCCATGGGACACTGGTTTTCTGGAACTTTTTCTCACTGCTCGAGCAAGTATGGCCCAGATATGCTTGATGGAGTTCATATCAGGTGACTGACTTGGCCATGGGATCCGTTGGATGCCTTTCTTAATTAAACGATTATTGAATAAACATCATGGTGTCTATTTACTTTTGAGATGTCTCCGTATAGTAGAAATTTTATTGTATATTTAGCTGAGGAAAACAAAGATTAACTAAACTCTGAAAAAATAATTCAAGAGTAGAAACCTGAGTTTGAAAGATAAAGCCTCCTGCAACAGTACATAACCATGCTCAACACACACAGAATACCACTGAGAAACAGCACATAACCATGGCCATCTCACAACACCACTGAGCAACAGTACATAACCAGGCCACCACATAAAACACCAATAAGTAACAGTACATAACCATGGCTACCACACAGAAAACCACTCAGCAACAGTAGTACATAACAAGAACATCACAGAGAAAAGGTACATTTTCTGACTTTGTTATCTCAAACCAGAATATGTGTTACGAAGTACAAAGAAGCTATAACTTTGTGAGCCCATCCAAGAGTACTTGTACAGAGAAACCTTATGCTAACTTGCCCCAGAGCACATGATGAGATTACATAAATTTTTAAGTCACACCAGAATATGTAGAGATACATAGATTCCTTACCTTTGTTAACTCATCCAAAAACATGTGTACAGAGAAATCCTATGTTTACTCACCCCAGATTATGTAGAGGGATATATAAAGTTTGTTAACTCCCCCCTGAGTGCATGTTGAGAGGTGCATAGATTCCCTAAGTTGTTAACTTACCCCTGAGTACGTGTTGAGAGGTGCATAGATTCCCTAAGTTGTTAACTTACCCTAGGTACGTGTTGAGAGGTACATAGATTTCCTAAGTTTGTTAACTTACCCCTAGGTACGTGTTGAGAGGTACATAGATTTCCTAAGTTTGTTAACTTACCCCTGAGTACGTGTTGAGAGGTACAGAGATTTCCTAAGTTTGTTAACTTACCCCTGAGTACGTGTTGAGAGGTACAGAGATTTCCTAAGTTTGTTAACTCACCCCTGAGTACGTGTTGAGAGGTTACAGAGATTTCCTAAGTTTGTTAACTAAACTTAGGAAATCTCTATACCTCTCAACATGTGCTCCAAGGTAAGTTAACAAACTTAGGAAATCTCTATACCTCTCAACACGTACTCATGGGTGAATTAACAAACTTAGGAAATGTCTATACCTCTCAACATGTGCTCCAAGGTAAGTTAACAAACTTAGGAAATCTCTGTACCTCTCAACACGTACTCAGGGGTGAGTTAACAAACTTAGGAAATCTCTATACCTCTCAACACGTACTCAGGGGTGAGTTAACAAACTTAGGAAATCTCTGTACCTCTCAACACGTACTCAGGGGTGATTAACTCACCCCTGAGTACGTGTTGAGAGGTATAAAGATTTCCTAAGTTTGTTAACTCACCCGAGTAAGTGTTGAGAGGTACAGAGATTTCCTAAGTTTGTTAACTTACCTTGGAGCACATGTTGAGAGGTATAGAAATTTCCTAAGTTTGTTAACTCACCCCTGAGTTAGTGTTGAGAGGTACAGAGATTTCCTAAGTTTGTTAATTCACCCTTGAGTACATGTTGAGAGGTACAGAGATTTCCTAAGTTTGTTAACTCACCCCTGAGTACGTGTTGAGAGGTATAGAAATTTCCTAAGTTTGTTAACTCACCCCTGAGTTAGTGTTGAGAGGTACAGAGATTTCCTAAGTTTGTTAATTCACCCTTGAGTACATGTTGAGAGGTACAGAGATTTCCTAAGTTTGTTAACTCACCCCTGAGTACGTGTTGAGAGGTATAAAGATTTCCTAAGTTTGTTAACTTACCCCTAGGTACGTGTTGAGAGGTATAGAGATTTCTTAAGTTTGTTAACTCACCCCTGAGTAAGTGTTAAGGGGTACACAGATTCCCATGTCATCTACTGTCAGCTGTAAGAAGAGCGTCCCAAGACTTTGAGTGCTGAGTTGGGATATCTGAGGCACTTTTTCAAACACCTGTTGTGTAGCAGTTAATACCTGTAAAATAATGATATATATACATGTAATTAGCTACATAAAGACATTTAAAATTAACCTAGCACAAAACAATAACACCAAATCACATCAATAAGACTCACATACTGCTGCCCTTTGTACATGATGAAGCCACGAGTAATCTGTTACCAGGGGGAGTGAGGGGCTGGCAATGATGAGATGTAGCTTGTACTTGTATAGATTGCATAAAAATTGGATTATACTTCTGCTTTTGATACAACATAGACAAATACAAAGAGAAATAGAAAAAGGAACATTTTTAAGTCACTGTTTAAACAATGATAGCTTGATATTGTAGTGAATTTAACACTTGTGCAGCATGATATTCATGGTAACCATTATGATACCAACTCTTTATACCATACACAATATACTTTCTGACAAACATTATGATACAAGAATCTTATCCCACTCATACTGTGCTTCCTGACAAATGTTATAATACCAAAACCTTATCCCACTCACACTATACTTCTGACAAACATGATGATACCAAAACTATATCCCATTCACACCATATTTCTGACAAACATGATGATACCAAAACTATATCCCATTCACACCATACTTCATGACAAACATGATGATATCAAAACCAGATCCCATTCACACCATACTTCCTGACAAACATGATAATATCAAAACCATATCCCACTCACACCATACTTCTGACACACATGATGGTACCAAATCCTTATCCAATTTGCACAATACTTCTGACAAACATGATGATATCAAAACCATATCCCACTCACACCATACTTCTGACACACATGATGATACCAAATCCTTATCCAATTTGCACAATACTTCTGACAAACATGATGATATCAAAACCTTATCCCACTCACACCATACTTCTGACAAACATGATGATACAAAATCCTTATCCAATTTGCACAATACTTCTGACAAACATGATGATATCAAAACATTATCAAACTCACACCATACTTCTGAAAAATTGATGATACCAAAACTTTATCCAACTCACACCATACTTCTGACAAACATGATGATATCAAAACCATATCCCACTCACACCATACTTCTGATAAACATTATGATACCAAAACCTTATCCACTCATGAAATTTTAATTTCTAAGTAGGTACATCATTTTGTTTAACATGGTTAATGTTTTCTTCCAATGAAGGGAAAAAAAGTTTTATTTAACTGAGTGACAATTCCACCTCTGAAATTATCATCACCATATGTTCTATAATTACACACATACATATATACATATATATATATTTATTTTTTCTGGTTTGAACAGTCTCAAATTATGTTTTTAACTAAATGTTGCCAATTTATAACAATGAAACAGAGAAAAATTGAAGAATTAGTTTTTTCATTAAAAAAATGTGTTAATGAGCTTAGTATAACATCTTCAATAACAATTTTACCACATGAAAGTGCTGGACAAAGAAATTGTCCTTAAAAGAATCTATATTTTTTCCCACGAAAAAAAAAACTTCCCGAAAATTCAGTATTGTTATGTCATGTTACAACATTCAGTATTATAGTGATGGTAACTGAAACACAGATAATACTAACCTCTTTATTTAAACTGGCTCTCTGTTCAGTCCAATACTCATAAGCATTCTTGTAGTTTAGCCACACCAGAACAGCTACAAAAAGAAAGCCTTTCATATTAACAAATAAACCTATGGAGAACAAGAACAAATATACCCTACTACACATCTGTTATAAAACTTAAAATAAAACCCTACCTGCTTTCAGCATGCACATTACTTTCTAACATTGAAGAATTCTGCCATATCTCCATATCTGTACATTTCAGTTGGTCCAAAGATGATTATTTTGTTAATTTTAACTATATTTCTGATCACTTCTATTGTTGCTAAAACTAGTTTTCGATAAATATTACATTTATGAACTGTCCAGCTGTCACGTGGTACTGATTTACTTTAGAATAGATGAGGATGGAAGTTATAAAAACTAAAAATATAAAATCTCCATGATACACTTAAGTTCTGAGTTGTTGCTAGGCTCACTACTAATCATTAACAAGGAGCATTTAGATTTAGGTAAACAATACATAAAAACTTTTACACTTTTCTTTACTCTGTTGTGCCAAGATTTTATTTTGCAAAGATGAAGCTTCACGAAAAGTGATGTACTCCCTTCATGGCAACACCACCTCTTGAAATAAAAGACATAGCCTAGCTAGGTGGGTGACAATTATTTTCTCACAGCTAGCTTCAGATTGTTAAGATGGGTGATTATATGTTATGGATTGTCACTGGTTCCTAACTTAAATATAAAAAATATCTACACATTTGAAGATATAAAAATAGATCTAAATTTTTAGGTAGTAGCCCACCCCACTCTATCTGTGGGGTAGTACACATATCAAATTACATTTGATAAATGCCATTAGAAAACTTAAAAGTCTGACTCATGGGAGTGACACCTGTTGTTCTCTTATCAATAATAAAGTATCAACATACCTTTATCCAAAGCAATAGGTTGGATATAAATAAGAGGCCTGTTTAATGTAATCAGTACTGCTTCTTTATCTTCAGCTTGGCTAGAAATCATTTCATCCTACAAAACCCAATAAAAAAAGAACATTTGTCTTTTCTACCTAACAGAAACCCTATAAAAAATTTAATAAAAAATACACATAAAATAAGTAAGAAAATCTCAAGCACATATTTTGGTGGAACCTGCAATCTATTGTTTATATTATTTCACAACTTGGGAAACAAAAACATTTTCTGCTATCAGTATACAATGTTTAAATTACATCTTATTAGTAACCAAAAACGTAGATGTAAAACAACATATGGATACATACAGAACATAAAAAAAAGGAACTCTTATCCTAGTGAATGTTTTAATAAACATGTAGCATTATGAGATCCGATGTACACAAAACTTGGAACAATGATTATCCACCTGAGAGATAGAGGGACATAACACTAGAGTTACTAACCTGAAGAGCATTTCTCATACAAATCCTTGTTTTAAAATATGCAAACTGTTGAAATTCTGGTTCTGCTTCTTCAAATAACGCATTCTGAAATGACAGTGTTATTTTTTGTTGATGTTACAAATTCATATTTCAATAAATGTTTTTAAATATCAGTACAAATGTTTTCTATCTCCAGTTTAATAACAGTAAACATTAAAGGTTAGTTTAATACTTTCTCTACATTAGATAATCTGACTCTTGTTAGTTTTAAAATTCAGATGCTAGAGTTAAATTAAATGAATCAGTTTCATCTCCCATTAAAACTTGTAGACAATGATCATATTGTTACTATGTAAGTGATATATTTATGTATGAACTGAAGTATACGTATAGTTAGGTTATGGTTAGATGTATAACATATACCTATGAGTACTATTAGACAAGAAGCTAAACTATATAAACAATTTATAAGTTGATATTACATATATTGTTAGACAAGAAGCTAAACTATATAAACAAATTATAAGTTGATATAACATATGCTGATGAGTACTGTTAGACAAGAAGCTAAACTATATAAACAAATATGTATGCCATATTTATGGAATATGTGAACTTTCTGCTCAAACTGTCTCAGTCATATGATTAAATTAGTTCAATATTATACCACCTGCCAGACTTGTGAAATACGTGAACTCTTTTCTCAAGCCGTTGTAATCGGTTCAAAATTATATCACCATTTAGAATAAGGTCCAGTAAGGGATTCTACAGTTCCTACTTAATATATACAGGAACTTCTACAGTTCAGTGTGTGAGATCTTTCCTTTTAAAAATGGCAGATGTTCCTAAAGTCACCACAGTATGACTAGTTTATACACTGATGTGTATAGATAGTTTACACACTGGTGCAGACTGACAATCTGTATGTTGATGTGTAGAACCAGTACAACAATGTGCACAGACATCTTACAGACCAGTGTGGACTGACAATCTGTATGTTGATGTGTAGAACCAGTACAACAATGTGCACAGACATCTTACAGACCAGTGTGGACTGACAAACTGTATGTTGATGTGTGGAACCAGTACAACAATGTGTAAAGACATCTTACAGACTAGTGTGGACTAACAATCTGTATGTTGATGTGTATAACCAGTACAACAATGTGTAAAGACATCTTACAGACAAGTGTGGACTGACAATCTGTATGTTGATGTGTAGAACCAGTACAACAATGTGTAAAGACATCTTACAGACCAGTGTGGACTGACAATCTGTAGGTTGATGTGTATAACCAGCACAACAATATGTATTGGCAGCTTACTCACAGGTGTGGACTGACAGAATGTATGTTGATGTGTATAACCAGTACAACAATATGTATAGGCAGCTTACACACAGGTGTGGACTGACAGTTTGTTTGTTTTCTTGAATTTCATGCAAAGCTACACAAGGACTATCTGTGCCAGCCATCACTAATTTAGCAGTGAAAGACTAGAGGGAAGGCAGCTAGTCATCACCACCCATAACTAACTGTTGGGCTACTCTTTTACCAACATATAATGGGATTAACTGTTACATTATAACACTCCACAATTGAAAGGGCAAGCACGTTCAGTGAGATGGGGATTTGAATCTGTGACCCTCAGATTGCAAGTCGAGCACCCTAACTACCTATTTTAAAGTGTATAACCTGTACATTAATATGTATAGAAAACTGACTTATAAAAGTGGACTGACACATGTTAAGACCATATAACTTACCTTGATAAGTTGCCCTAGAGCCAAATTCAGATCTACTTGGGCTTTACCAAACAGTTTCATGTATCCACCTGTTGAAGAATTTAATATAAATATGATCAGCAAAAGTCTTTAAAACGCAGAGAAAATAATATATTTAACATAGAGCTAATGAAATTTAAGAAAGTGAAAAATTACAAGTTTTTAGGAAAAATCCTTTAAAGAAAATTAATCAATTTAGCACTTGGCCAATTTTGTACTAAAGTTAAGCATAATTTATTTACATGAAGTTTTAATGGATACTTGTTAAACCTCCTGACATTGGTCATCGGTCAAAGGCCATATCATCACATTTCCTGACTTGTTTTCAAAATTTTATAGAACTACTATTTTATGAATTTATGTCAATAAGTTTGGTATCAAACTGTAGATTATAATTGACATTTTAGGTTCAAATTAGATGTTTGTGGTGTCCAAATACAGTTTCTTACAAATTAGATACTCGAATTACGAATATTGACAAGTTAGAATATGAGATAAGAACTTCCTAGCTTTTCTATTTGCTGATATATTAATACATTCCAAGTGGTAAGGTAAAACATTAGTGAGCTTGAAATTTAATATTTTTTTTAGACCCAAATACAGCTTAGTTACTAAGTTTGATAAATTATAGTGTAATTCTGTGGTATTGATATAGTAATTTATGATTTTTGGTTATTTCTAAATGTATGTATTAAACCTAAAAAAATTATATTGTTTCACATCCTTCATGTGTGAATTTTGATAAGGTTTAGCAACTTACAGCAAGCAGTAAACAAGTACAAAGTTTGTACCAGAAGGGATAATTGTTTGTTATACTTCTTTATTTATTGTTCTATGTTTAAGAAAAAT